TTCAGATGGAGACGGCCTCCTGTAACTAAGTGGTGGGAAAGATGAGGTGGCGAGCCCTGATGTGTGGCAGTGTGGATGTCATGACGTGAACTTAGGAGAGGAGCTAAGAGCCCCTGAGAGACAAGTAGAGGGCGATGTGTAAGATCTAGAGTGTTAGCATGGCTCAGAAACTTTATTGAGCATTAAATGCCAAAATAAAAAGAGGAAGGTAAGCACTTGGGAGGCAGAAGCAGGTGGATCTCTGTGAGTTCGAGGCCAGCCTGGTCTACAAGAGCTAGTTCCAGGACAGCCTCCAAAGCCACAGAGAAACCCTGTCTCGAAAAAACCAAAAAAAAAAAAAAAAAAAAAAGAGGAAGGTACCTCTCTTTTTCAAGTTTTCTTCCTTTACCAGACTACACCTTCACCTCTATGTTGTACTGTGTATAAACACTAAATACACAACTCCAGTGAGAACTGTATGTAACTACTTTATGAAATTTAAAACTATAATGATGATAAAAAGAACAAAGAATAGTATTTTTGAGGGTTACTCAAGTGGACACTGGTTTAAGCAATCTTTACATATATTCATCTCATTTAATACTTAACAATTTGTCATGTTTTATTATTCTCATTTTATTTATTTATTTATTTTGGTTTTTTGAGACAGGGCTTCTCTGTATTGTTTTGGAGGCTGTCCTGGCACTTGCTGTGTAGACCAGGCTGGCCTCGAACTCACAGAGATCCACCTGCCTCTGCCTCCCGAGTGCTGGGATTAAAGGCATGAGCCACCACCGCCCAAATTTTAACTCTTAAAATCCAGAATTTGTACTATTAGCCATTTGCTATCATGCCTTGGCAAATACTTATCAGTTGAGTGGTTTCAATCTCATCTAATAAATGTAAACATGAGTAGAATACAGAGACAGCAGCAGAACTCAGATGTGATGAAAACTAACCCTTCAGTAATGGATAAGAACAAGTCAACACCAAGGAAAAAAAATGGAACCCAGATCCCCAAGTGCCTATTCCCAGGACGTATGCTGGGGTAACTCCCTTCATCTCAGGACCAGAGAACATGCCAGGAGAGCCATTCCTTCAACTCTATCATCTCTACTGTTTGTTTGTTCATTTGTTTGCTTGTTTTCTACTGATTGAACCCAGAGGTTATTCCCTGGTTCTGGGGTTTGACAGCAGAGTTCAGGGATTCTTTTTCTACCATATTGCTTTGTTTGAGGGATGGCGGGTACTGAGAAGAAGGTACAGTTGATGGCTGTAATTCTTGTCAGTCTACTGATGCTGCTTTTGGGCTTTGACAGCACCCCTTCCCCATTCAAACTTTCATTAATTAATAACCCTTAGAGAATTTTGTGGTATTAGGTATGGTGGTGTACATTTTCCATCCTTCATGGGTGGATCTCTAGGAATTCAAGGCCAGCCTGGTCTACATAGTGACTTGCAGGCAAGCCTGGTTACCCTTTTTCAAACAAGCAAAACAACAATAAGAACATTTTGTGAAAGGCGTTAAGGAATCTTCCCTCCAGCCAGAATTAGAGGACATTTGAGTTGTCCTTCTGTGTCTGGTCAAAGAGAATTCCTACAAATTAATGTTCAATTTGTTTTGGGGCTAAATCAGCATATCTGATGACATCATATTGAGAAAAATCTTAAGTAGCTTTTACCCTAGATTTTAGGGTATATTTACTGCCATGTAGTGTTTACTGCTTCCCACAAGTTCTGTCATCAACCCTTCAAGATGTACAGACAAGATTTCATTCTATAGACGCTAACACCCACACCTCTAGAGCCTGGCAACCATCGTTCTATATTTTGCTTCTTGAGTTCACCCATTTCAGTGTGCACATATAAGAGAGGCCTTTCATATTTATCTTTCAATACCTGGCTTGTTTCACTTAGCATAATATCCTGCAAATTTATGTGAACTGTCACAAATAGTAAGATCTATTTTTAAGAGCCTATGTGTCACTTTTTTTTCTATCTAGTCATCTGTTGACAGACAATTGGTTCCCTAGCTTGGCTACTGCAAGTAATATTGCAAAGGTGATACAGATACAAACATTTCTTTGACACGTTGATTTCATTTTCTTTGGTTATGCATATGCCCAGTAGTGAGATTTCTGGGTCATACAGTAGTTTTGTTTTTAATTTTTGAGGCACTTTGACACTGCTTTCCAGAGTGGCTATGTCAGCTCATCCACTGACCAACAGTATATGCTGCTTTGTCCTACAACCTTCATCTACACTACATTTTTTACCGTCTCAATAATAGTTATTCTAACAAGTATTTCACTCTGGTTTCCTTTCATTTTTCAAGTGTTATCTTTATTTTATGGGTATGAATGTTCGCCTCTGTGTATATATGTGTGTGTACCATCTGCATGCCTTCTGCCCACAGAGCCAGAAGAGCATATTGAGTCACTGAAACTGGAGTTAGAGAGTTTGAGCTACCACGTGGGTGCTGGAAACGGAAGCCACATTCTCTTCAAGAGCAGTGTGTGCACTTAACCACTGAGACCTCTCTCTAGCTCATCACTGTGGCTTTAACTTGCATTTCTCTGCTGATTAGTGTTGAGAATTTTTTATGTAGCTACCAGCCATTTTTGTGTCTTTGTAAAAATGTCTGTTCGGGTAATTTGGCGGTTTAGATATGAATTTTCCTTCAGAAAGACTCATAGTGCAATACTATGTAATGATCTCTAGTACAATGCTCAGAAGTGGGACTTTGGGAAAACGATGGATCAGGAGTGTTCTGTCTTCATAAGTGGGTGAATCTGCTGATAGAGTCATTGGTGGCATTATTGGGAGATGGTGGAAACTTTTGGAGATGGGGCCTACTTGGAGGAAATGGGTCACTGAAGGTATATTCATGGTCGTAACATGTCCCTGGCACCTTTACTTTGTCCCTTTCTGTTTCAGGACTTGATAGTTTTCTAGAATGTTTCACAGAATTTAGGAAGTCTCCTTCTTTACATTTTCCATTTTTCTTAAAGGCTACAGATAAATAGCTAGATGGAAAGTACAAAGGAAGAGGTTGGGAGAGGTCCTAAGCATAAGGGCTTCTGTCCATGGAGTGGTGGAAGATGTGCCTGCCAGCTGAGAAGTTCTCCAAACCTCATCGTGTTTTCATGAAGTTTCATTAAGTAAATGTGATCACTAAGTCATTCTGCCATTGGTGGTTGAGTTCAATCTCCATCCTCTCTGTCTCAGTGTTTTGGGACAGGGCTGAGAGTTTTACACTCCAAATCAAAGCTTTCTACCTCCTAGTCCCCATCCTGAAGCTGCCTAGGGACTCCCAACTACCAATTATCTCATTATTATACAAGAGATACTTATAATTCCAGCATTCCCTAGCATTTTAGGAGCTGTATACCAGGAACCAAAAATGCATAGATGTATCATTATATTTGAAGACTGGGTACTGGAGAGATGACTCAGTGGTTAAGAGCACTGGTTGCATTTCCAAAAGACCCTGGTTCAATTCCCAGCGCCCATGGCAGCTCACAGCCACTGTAACTGCAGTTCCAGGGTTTCTGACACCCTCACATAGACATACACGTAGGCAAAACACCAATGCACATGAAATAAAAATAAATTGTATGTTAAAAAAATAAAGGCTGCCTCCATAGGGAATGAGTATTGTTTACTTTTTACTGGTGCTTTGGAAGGGAACCTAAAGTCTGAGTACATTCATATAAATGACAAGAGTACAGACTTATGTTTCAGCTTGCTATCACATCTAGTCAGAAGAGACACACGCACTTTCACAAGGTACATTTGATGCCGGAGCTGTGAATAAAGAGTAGTCTGGCATGGCTCTGCAGCTCTTGGCCATGTGGTCGGTCTTCACTAGGAGTTTCTATTTCCTCCCTCACTTTTTACATTACAAGGACTTGTCTCATGATGACACCATTGTGACAGGCTAGCCACACTGGTCCACTGTTCTTTCCATAAAGCCTTCTTTCAAGCAAGTTCAGTAAACACTCTTAAGCACTGAGCCATCTCTCTAGCCCAACAGGTTTCTTGATAAAAATGTTTGTCCTTGTCATGAGACTATGTCATCATCCTACACCTGGAGACTCCTGCTGTGTTGCTGTAATCCCAAGTAACTGCTTCCTGGTCTTTAAGGGTCTGAACTCCAGCCCAGTAAGATTCTGAGCACATGGTTTGTATCCATGTTTCCTAGCTTCCTTCAGTATGTTGGGTTTTTTCTTAGTGGTACAGCTAAGTAATTAGAATAAGACTAGGTTGGCCAGGCATTGGTGACACACACCTTTAATCCCAGCACTCGGGAGGCAGAGGCAGGCGGATCTCTGTGAGGTCAAGGCCAGCAGGGTCTACAGAGCGAGTCCCAGGACAGCCTCCAAAACAATACAGAGAAACCCTGTCTCTAAACAAAACAAAACAGAAAAAGAATAAGACTAGGTCACCCAGATAAGATCAAAAGTTATAGCTAAGGTCTGACTTTCTCTTAGCTTTGCTGAAGGTCCAAGATTGAGAAAGGCATGTAGATTCTAAATGTCCTCAAAGGTCTAAATATTTCCCTTATGATGGGTACTGTAGGCACAGGAGTATATGGATGACAGGAAGTTCAAGGTTTGATCTCCTTCTTTTTGGTCAGTTGTTTAAGAGGGAGGTTATGGAAATGGCAGGGAGCGCTACAGAGAGGGAGAAGAGGTTTCATCTTCCAAGCCTTATTTCTACTGTTCTCCCCCTGGGGACAGGATTTGGATACATGTCACGATCACCTCGACCAGCAAGGAAGATGCGACTCAGGAACCCTTCTTGCAGACAGTTTATTCAGGACTTTGATGAACAGTGGAAAGGCAGCCCCAGGAGAACCCCCTGCTCCCTAAATAGCCGAGGCCAGCCAACCCTGAGCAGCTATGTGTGCACAAGCCATAGGCTCACCAGCATGCGTAAGCAATCTGATGATCATGGCGTGACCCCGGCGGGATAGGAGCACACCAAATAAGGAGTTGTTTGTTACCGAGAGCACTCACCGTCGGGATGGTGGAAGGCGGAAGCCAGCACCATCTTTAAGGCGTGGCGCAGCTCTCCACAGATACAGAGGTAATCTAGGGTACCAGAAGTGCCCATCTTCTGTTTTCTCTTTGCACAGACCTACATCCTGGTAGAGGACCTTGAGTATTTCCTTTGATTCCTACAAAATAAGTGTAGTGCAGGATGATAGGGTTTCAGCTTCCACCGTTTGACCAAACTTTCCTATTTCCCAGCTGGGTTTGGGGCCAGAAGTTGTTGCAGTAAACTAATAGGAGTGTCTTTTTCCTTCCTTTTCTTTTTTAAAATTATTATTTTTTATTTTATATGCATTGATGCTTTGCCATGGGTGTCAGGTCCTCTGGAACTGGAATTACAGACAGTTGTGAGCTGCCATGTGCTGGGAATTGAACCCAGGTTCTCTGAAAGATCAGTCAGTGCTCTTAACCACTGAGTCATCTCTGTAGCCCCTGAGTGTCTTTTCCTTTAGGTTTTCACAATCCAAGCTATTCTGATTTTTTAAGAATTTATTTAATTGCTTTTATGATTTAGTGTGTGTGAGTGTGTGTGTGTGTGCGTGCTTGTGCATACCATATCTTAAATGAAAAGAAGAGAGGGTAACTTGTGTGAGTTGGTTCTCTCCTTCAACCATGTGGGTCCTGGGTCTAGCACCCACTGAACCATCTAGCCAGCCTTATTTCAACTCTTAAGGCTATACAGTAGCAGGAAATGAAAATGAACTTTCCATGATGTCCTAAGGGGAGGACAAAGCAGATGATGTCTGCAGCAAGAGCTTTATCTCTCTTGTCATTCTCAGAATTCTTCAGGTTATAAAAATGGTTTGGGAGTGTCGCCCTCTCCCAAATCACCATGCATTCTTGGAGTTTCTAAGCATAGCTCACAGGAGCTTTAGAAATGAGACTGGAAGTAACGGTATACACTTTTAATCCCAGCATTTAGGAGGCAGAGGCAAGCCTTGTTCTACATAGTATCAGGCCAGTCAGGATTGTTACACAGAGAAACCTAGTTTCAAAAAACAAACAAACAAACAAACAAATAATCATACTGGTTGAGCTCTCAACACTTCTGAGTGTGCTTGCACCTCCCCCAGACTGGGTTGGAAACAATTGCTAGTGCTTTCTCTCTCAGGACTAAGTCCCACAGTGATGAATGGCCCTGGTACATGAACCTCTGAGATTGTTTTATTTTGCATGTGTTTTAATTTTTAATTTTATGTGTTTGGATGTTTTGCCTGCATGCATATCTGTGCACCGCATACTTGCCTGATACTTCTGGAAGCCAGGAGAGGGCATCAGTTTCCTTGGAACTTCAGTTACAGATGGTTGTGAGCTGCCATGTGAGTACTAGGAATTGAACCCAGGCCCTCCGGAAGAGCAGTCAGTGCTCTTAACAACTGAGCCATCTCGCTAGCCCTTGAAGCTATTTACTTTATTTGTTATTCTATCTTAGTAGAATAAGGCCTCTCTTCTAAGCAAAAAAGAAAGTAGGTGTGGTATGAATTATAAACAAATAATAACAGTATACTGCAACACAGGAAGTAAGAAATAGAAAACCAGAAAAATTGTATTTCAGTGTAGTTGTAGCATATTCCCTTTTTTTCTGGATGTGAGAAAAAGTCTAGTAATGTAATTGTGGACCAAGATGTACTTCAAAGTAACTAAAACTAGGTCAGTTTCATTGAATACAGTATCTATCAGTGGGTTAACAACTTATGGATAGGTACTGCCTGTTAATCATAAGTAAGGATACCACAGACAAGAGAATTATGTACAAAAACAAAAACAGAACCTTAATGAAGAGCGTGGTTGTGATATCTGATCAGAGATTCAAAGAGCATTCTGTGGAATTCTGATACAAAGGAGAATTAACCAGTCAACAATTCGTGGGATGTTACAGACTGAAAAGTCAGGGTAACCAACTAATGAGAGTCAGAAAGAACAGACAACAGATTGGGCAACATTTGCTGCTTGCTTGCTGGTTGTTTTGGCCCGTGGGTCATTTTACGTGTTGAGCGGGGAGGAAGTGAAACAGTAAGAAGGAAGTGCACAGCCTACAGAGGGGGGCTGAGTCTCCCAGAAAAGGAAGGGAAGTGGGACCTCAGGAGCAGAAGAGGGCAAAGAGTACTTTAGCTATTGGTTTTTCTACCAAAAGAAGACTTCCCACTGAAAGGAGCTGAGGGAATGTCCAGTGCTTCAGAGTACATGCTGCTCAGGCAGAGCTCATGTCCCAGCACCCACATCAGGTGGCTGGGCTGAAACTTCAGCTGTAGGGGACTGTAAAGAGAAGCTTTTTCCTTGAGAGAAGCCTTCCCGCCAACCTGGTTCTAGAGCCGCATGAGTCCCAAATAAACACACAGGAGGCTATATTCATTATGAAGCTGTTGGCCTTGCTTGTCTCTTACTGGCTAGCTCTGCTTTAAGTAATTACCCCATAATTGTTAATCTAAGTGCCTCTTACCAGAGAATAGTTCCGGGCTCCTACCCCATGGCGGTTACATGTTGACTCTCTTTGTGTTTCTCCTTCCCAGAATCCTCCTGGACTCCTAGTCCCACCTATCTAGATTTCTATTGGCTCAACAGGCTTTATTGATAAAGGACTTCCCCAACAGGGGACATTCAATGCCTCTGCCCTGCATGGACACCTACCGTCTTGTACACACACACATACAGAGAGACACACACACACTCACACACAATTAAAAAGAAAATAAGTAAAAAAGGAGACAAAAAGCAAGAAGTAAAAAACAACTTGTTCCCATAGCAATAGTATTGTGGGGTACCCATCAGAGAATACTACTGAGACATAGGTTTAAGCCAATAGAAAGTCTGTATTAGTGGACTGTGACTACACTCAGGATTCCAGTGTAGCTCAGAGCTTTTCTCAGGGTAAGCTTTTAAGGACAAAACATATGGTCTCGTTTGACATACTTCAGTTAACAAGAACACTGAGCCAGAAGCAAAACTACAGAAGCCAAAAAGCACTTAGTGCTTTTGCAGAGGGCCCAGTTTCAGTAGCCAGCACCCACATGGAAGTTGACAAACATCTGTAAGCCTAGTTCCAGGGAATGTGATACCCACTCCTGAGCTCCTTGGACACCAGGGACATACATGATGCACAGACATATAGCAAAACACATAGAGTAAAAAAATTTAAAATGTTTATAAAACACTTAAAGAATGAAATCTGTTTGTGTATTTTATTCCATGTTTATGTGTGTGCTTGTCTGGCAGGGCTCGCACACCCCCATGTTGTGCCTGTGTAAGTCAGAGAATGACTCTTGGGAGTTGGTTTCTCACTTTCTACCTTCCTAAGGCTCCATCGTGACCTGCAGCTTCATATCCAACAGCACCTCTCCATAACCTGCCCACCCAGCCCTTCTCACAGCTCACCAGTCCTTGTATTCTGAATAGGGCGTCTGCTGTGTCTGAATGTTCCTGCCTCCTTATTTTAGCTGATGTTTTCATCAGCTAATCTTCAGTTCTTCTTTTCTTTTTTGTTTTTTTGAGACAGGGCTTCTCTGTATTGTTGTTTTGGAGGCTGTCCTGGAACTCGGGCTGGCCTCGAAATCCCAAAGATCTGCCTGCCTCTGCCTCCTGAGTGCTGGGATTAAAGGCATGCACCACCAATGCCCGGCCAGTTCTTCTTTTCATTCAGAAATCCCACATGGGTTTAAGGCTCACTTCTCTATGCAAGACTGACAACAAACCCTACCAAAGAGCTCTCTCCTTTTCTCCTTCTTACATAGCACTCAGTTGCAGAGTTCTAAGTTCTCTTTGATATCATTCGAAAAACCCTTCAGTTTAATAGTAGAGATGGTGAGTCTTGGCCAGCACTCTATTAATAGTGGTAGCTGAAACAAGACTCTAAGTGTCTTCATATATATGCAGATACCATGGTGAAAAACCACTACTTTGTATGCTAACCTAAATGGAACAAAGAAAAGTCTTGGTGTCCTAAACCTAGCCTCCTTCTACCCATACCTTACTGTCTTTTCTTTACCAGAAATAATGTATTTTATTTCATCATTTGCTTTTGAAATAGGGTCTGAATATGTAGCTGGCCAGCTACTCACCATGTAGATCAGGCTGACCTCCAACTCACAGAGCTCTGCCTTCCTGCCAATGCTGGGATTAAAGGTGCTATGATTCCACTCCAGGGAGACTTTCATAACTTGCATTAACACACCTTAAGTCACTTTCTTAGACCCTGAAACACTCTTAGATCCTCACATCTTAAGCTTTCATGTCCTCACACAAACTTTGCACCTTAAAGCACCTACTATAAGCCGGGCGTTGGTGGTGCACACCTTTAATTCCAGCACTCGGGAGGCAGAAGCAGGCGGATCTCTGAGTTCGAGGCCAGCCTGGTCTATAGAGTAAGTTCCAGGACAGCCTCCAAAACAATACAGAGAAACCCTGTCTCAAAAAACAAACAAACAAAAAGCCACCTTCTACCTAGTTCACCAGTATATACAGGTGGCTGATCATTGAGAGCAGTCACTGTAAAGTAAGTTCCTGTAAATAAAGGAATGGTAAGAAGTCATACTAAAATCTGTTTTGTGAGTTTTTCTTTTCTTGAGTCTGGTAGCAAGGTAAACTGTGTCTAGACTTAGTATTAGCTCTAGGAAAGTGAGGCCTGTGACCTGAATTTTACAGAGAACCGAGAAGGCAGCTGAAGCCTTGGTTGCTGTTTTAAGCTGGCAAAGCTACTAGTCATTAAACAACATCAGAGTTCTGAGAAAGATAAATTTTACCGGAAGTAATGATTAAAAATGACAGAAACTTATTTGCTGCCTGCCCAGACGGCTATCCTGGGGTTCTCCATGGTAACCGAGGGCAGAGGTTTCAGGGCAACATCAGTCTTCTACTGGAAGGCGTAGGCCTGCCAGGCCTCAGAAGACCCTGTGGTGTAGGAGCTTGTAGGAAGAGCAGCCTACCTTTACTTAGGCAACTCAATTCCCCAGTGTCCTGTTTTGTCCAGGGTCTGAAGGGGTCTTTGCAGCAGTTGAGGTGAAAGGCAGTTTTGCCCAGTGGCTAGTGCTGCCCTTTTGAAGCCAGTTCTGGGTGGAGGTTCTTCTGTGCCCATCCGTCTTCTTTGGAGGAAACAGGGGTGCTGCCAGGAACTGTCATGTCTCTCTGTTATGAAAAGCTTTTTCATTAAACGTTTTAAATGGCATATTCTGCAGATCTCTGAGCATTTGAGGACTGTCTGTCTATTGGGTATATCTGAGTAGACAAACTTTGTTTCTAGTTATTTCATTAAGTTTGACTCTGAAAACATATAGGGGATTAGGTAAGGCTTATTCCTGTAATTAATTACTATAATTTATCAGCATGACTATAATTAAAGAGCTTGATCATTTATAAGATGACTCTTGTATTCTTCAACAGTCTATAATAGGTTAGTAGCTTCCATAAGACTAGGACTTTACATCCTTGTCAGGTCTAGCCTTAAAAAGAATGATTTTAAATTGAAGCTCTTTTAGTATCAAAATAACCTTTTAATCATAGATAATGAGCTCAGTAAATAAGCCAAGATAGACATTCTGTGCATAATAACAGAACAAGTTTGTACCAATATCTATCTTATTTATTAAATACCTTATTTATCAAACACATATTGCTACTTGTTTACGTTCTCTAGAATCTTGGTGTCGAACACATGGTAAAGACATAAGTACTTAGGTGTAAATCTTTAAGTTAGCTTTTGTACTCTGACTAGATCTTTATAACTTAAAATTTTATCACCATATAGAATATATTTTAAAGCACAGTTGAATAACATATACAGTATGTTGTAAGAAATCTAACCTATCTTTTTATCATCATGCAAAAGTCCATACTAATTTAAAGTATTTGAAACTTGTTTTCTTAGTCTAGAATGAGACACAACCTTAGGACTAAGAAGTTTACTCTTTAAATTTAATAAGCAACGTTATTCTAAACAATAGTTACATGTACACAAATTCATATATCTTAAACAGTAATTGAAAAAAATCAATTAGGTGTATCTAAATCAGACAAATGTTGTTAGGCTTATTTATTTGAAAAAGTGCCCGTTAGTGGTGTACACCTTTAATCCCAGCACTCAGGAGGCTGATGTAGGTGGATCTCTGTGAATACGTAGACGGATCTCTGTGAGTTCGAGATCAGCCTGGTCTACAAGAGCTAGTTCCAGGCCAGCCTCCAAAGCCTCAGAAAAACCCTGTCTTGAAAAATTAAAAAGCAAACAAACGCTTGAAGAGGGGTCACACCATACAACAGGGCTCACATGGGCAGTGAGGAGAGAGAAGCGGCAGAGGGACGGGGGCAGAGACTGATCCCTGGGGACAAGAGTGTTGGCAAAGAGATGGAGAGGGAGAGAGAAAGGGCGAGAGAGAAAAAGATGGGAGGTGGGCAAGGTTCACCTTTTAAAAGGGAACATAGCAAATGTACACAGGGGATGCTCTTAGTGGCTGCAGCTGAGGTCATATCCTGTCTTACCCCAAGGGCAGGCCAACACAGATGCCTGAATACTAACAAAAAGCAAGTGTTCATCCAGCAAGTTTAATCTCATTCAATCTTGTATTTTGTTTAATGTTTATATATCAAAAAGTCCAGATTAAATTACAAACAGATCAGTATAATTATTGGTGTAGGATCCATTATCAGGTGACAAGCCCTTATTTGGGGTATTCAAGGCTGGAGTTCAAAGGACGGGTCAAATAAACTTCAGATGTCTATGAAGTGGAGGATTTGTGAATAGATTTGATAGTGCTACAACTTCTTCACATTTGAGCTCAGGGGGTGGACAGGCCTGAGCTACTCTATGCTTCTAATAATCTCTAACTGTGTGGCTGGGCACATTAACCCTGAGTCAGATATTTACAGGCCTGCATCCTGCTGGGAGAGGGAGCTCAGACAGACTCCAACTAAGGCTATAGATACTCTGAGGCCTCAAGGACTTGCTGCTGGAGTGGGAAAGGAAGGGTGGGGCTTCCCCTGTTACTGTAACTCTACACAGATTTCTGGGAAGCCTGCAAAAACATAAATTGTAGGGAAAAGTCTCTCAGCACTGACAAAAACAAAGAGATGGAAACCTGACACAGCATGAGATGAGCTTCAGTAGGAGGAAGTAGAAAGAAAAGAAAAAAAAGAGGAAGTGCCTAGAACAAAGGAAGACAAAAGGACACTGGTCACAACAGGGTAGGTTTTGTTAGTGTGGCCATAGACAAATGAAACGTTTTAAGGCTGGCATTGCAGGAAGATAAGAATGGAATGAATGTTTTAAAGAAACAATCCAAGAATAGCTTAGCATGTGTTCTCCTGAGGCTCATTTTCCTATTTTGCTTTGGTAAACACAACCACTCTATATTCAACCCTGTGCTAGGGACATGGAAAGGGCTGGCTGAGCTCCTGGTCTCAAAGAATGGTCAATGCAGCAGAACAGACGTACATAAGTACATACGGACAGTTGCTAGAAGTGGGGGGGCGTTGGGGTGGGGCTGCTCTTAAATCAGTGGGAGAGTTCAAGGGATATTTGTAATGTTAATTATAGATAACTTCTAAGTGCTTTCCATGGACTATGTCATTTGAGCCTCATGAAAGTGTATGTACCATTTTATTATACTTATTCTTCAGATATAAAAATGGAGTTATCCAGGAACATATGTATTCGGGAGAAATGAAAGTTTCATCAGGAGAAAACCTGTGCCAGGGCTGGGGATATAGCCCAGTGGGTAGCGTGGTCATCTGGCAGGCACAAAACCCTGCATTTGAGCCCTTGCACTGCATAAAAACAACTTTTGTGGTGAGCGAGGGGTCAGTTCTACTACTTAGCAGTCATTGGCCATAGGACAATCTTACTAATTCCTTCCAAGTCTCAGCTGCTACTTTTGCATACTAAGGGCACTGTCTTGGATGTGGAGCTATCATGAAGAGTAGAAATAATAGTCAGGAAGATTTTGCAGAGGTGGAAATGAGTGTGGTATCAGGTAAATGGTAGTTGGTGTTTCTCTAAGCCCCGCTGCCCGCAACCTACTAAGAACTGACTCGGACTTCAAAGTCTACACTTTCTCTCTCTGGCTTGAATTGTGAAAGATCATTGTGCCAGAATATGGGATTGTGGAGGATAAAAGTAGAAGCAGAAAGACTGGACCAGAGTCATGGCCATGTGGCAGACAGCTTCTGGAAAGATTTGCCATCTCGTGCCAACTCTTTCCTCTTGATAAATGCCATTAGTACTTAAGGGTCTTTCTCTCTGGGTATTCCTGCATAATTAACGCACTCAGCCTCCCCTACTTTCTTAACCTGTGTGGCTCTTCAAGCTCCCTCAGATATCTTTTTTTTTTTTTTTTAAAGATTTATTTATATAAACTGTGTTCTGTGTGCATGTACGCCTAAAAGCCAGAAGAGGGCACCAGATCTCATTGTGGATGGTTGTGAGTCATCTTGTGGCTGCTAGGAATTGAACTCAGGACCTCTGGAAGAGTAGCCAGTGCTCTTAACTGCTGAGTCATCTCTCCAGTCCCTCTCCCAGAAATCTTGAACCATGATGTTTAATACTGTTACAAACAAGTCACACTTGATATAGGACCTGTAGAGAATGGTCCAGGAAACCTCCATTTCTGCTGAAGCCTGTGGAATTGCCAACAAGGCTGCCCATCCACAGTGAGTACACCTTCATTCTACATGTGTGTCCATTCAGTTCATTTTTATTTTCCTTCCTAAGGTGACAGTTTCCATCAATACAACTCTAATGTGTGCCATACTGCCACGATGGCTGGGAGAAATAGTGAAAACACAAATCAAACTAGTCTAGGAGGTTTGGGAAGAAAAACACGTTCAGTTAGGAATATTTAGTGTAGGGGAGAGTTTGGAACAATTTCCTGGTTTGAGGAGATGGGTTCCATGTTGCTACCATCATGAAGACAGGGCATAAGAGAAAGAAGGGACCTAAGGGAAAACACTGGACTTGAAGTGCCCGGACAAATCCCGGTGGAGACAGATAGCAAGAAGTGGAATGCAGGGAGAAGGTGGAGGTAACTAGATGGGAGCTTCTGGAATTTGCATAGTATTAGTGCCTCCTCAGAAAGACTGAAGGATGCTGAAAGATAGGATCCAGGAATGGAATTCTAGAGAATACCAGTGTCAAAGACGGACCTGATGGGGAAGACTCTCAAAGAAAGTGAGAAGGAATGATTAGTGTGGGAGAAGCAGAGCTAGGGAAGGTCTGAATGAAGCAGGTGTTGGAGAGGGACGCAGCTACATCAGTTCAGCAGCCTCTCCCAGCAGCCTCTCCGTCTACAGCTACCCATCCATTAGACCTGACCCGCTCACCTACACTCGGGGACTTTCTTTTAACTTCTTAATCTGCTTTTTGCTTTGATCCCTGGACCTTCCTGCACTGCCTAGCTTCTTTGGGCTATCTGATGGCTGTTAAATGTTATTAAGTTCCCACCAGTGAAGGAAACACAAATCAAAGCACCTATGCTTCTTTTATACAATCCACCTGTGTTATTAGCGCCCCTGAGTAAGGAGGCAAAGCCTTCTGTTCACAGAGGCTGTGGGGAGGGAGGCAGGCACCAACTCTGCAGGTGGCTCTTCATACACAGACAATGTGCAGGGTAATCAGAGAAGCCATATCAAACCTGGTGTATCCACTGTTTGCTTTGGAACATGCATCAAGGAAAGAGACTAAGGGAGAAAAGTAGTAAAGGGTAATAATAATTCGGGTCCCATGGTTTATAACAGTTCGAAACTGGACAAGATCCAAGCCTCTGATTTAAAACTATGGTTAAACAACGGCATACCAACTGACACAGAACACTTTGTAACCATCAAAAGTGATATCCATGCAGATGTGGAAATGCAACTGTGAAATAAAATGAAGCAAAAAAAAATTGGATCTCACCAAATGTTGGCAAGGGTGTGGGGAAACTGGAATTTGTATGCCTTGTTAGTAGGATGTAAGATGGTGAAATCACCTTGGGAAAGTCTGGCAGTATGCAGAATTATCATTTGGTCCAGATAGACCATTCCTAGGCACAAACCAAGACTGATACACAAACATTCACAGCAACATTAGTAATAACAACAAAAAGTACAGTAACAACCTACACACCCACTGACTCATGAGCAAATGAAGACATAAAATA